TCTGAAGTGTCTCTTTCTGATGATTTTTTGAAGATAGCCTGCATCAGATATCTGAGGCTACTGGCCATGTTCCCTGTTCAGCCATTATGAGGCATAAAAAGTGGAAAATAAAAGAAAGATGGAAAACAAACAGAACTTTATATCAAATTATCACCCTCTCTGTCTGGTTTAGAGAAATTATCATAATGTTTTTTTTCTAAAATGAAAAAAAGAGTGATTCATCCAAAAGGCTGTCTTTGAAGCTGCTGCTCCCGTCTATTGAGCCGGCAGGTTAGGTTCATTTTAAATTATTGGGCAAGATGAATGTGCTGTTTTTTGTGCTCTCCTATTATGACTCATCGCCATGGTAACAACAGGTCTGACTCAGGTTAGAGCTAAAGAGTAAATCACCTGAGGAAAAGGAAAAAAAGAGCGTCAGGGTCCAGAGCAGCTTATTTGTCAGCGCGTCTAATGGAGATGATGCAGGGACTCTGTGTTAGTGATGTGATATCAAGGTTTCACTTTCAACATGAATGACTGACGCTGAGAAAAAAAAAAAAGCTCAAACGCAGCAGGCGCTGACATTAAAAACCTCAGGCGGCGTCTTTGTGATTTCATATTCTGTCATTTACACAGAAGCAGACTCTGCGGAGGCCACGCATGCTGTTATTATCTACAGACGTTAAAGCCTTTTGGAGCGCCATAAGGTCTAAAGTGGTTAGACCACACCCTATTTTGCGGATGCTGTGGTACTCCAAGTGGGCGGCCCCGGGTTTGAGTCCAACCTGTGGCTCCATTCAAATGTCACAGACCATATTCCAACGGCGGCGATGCTGCTGTGACATCACGCTCAGGATGGGATCGTGTCTTACTGTTATGCTCCAGGTTTAAGACAAGTTAACGCTGGAAATCTGAGCAACTGTTTTTATTTTACACCTTCCAGATCTGTGAGAGACTAAAGAAACTACACCGACAATGAGGACAGACATTGTCTTAACATTTACATTTGAGAATCAAGGATACAATCTAAGGGGCGGTGTGGTGGTGCAGACATTAGTGCTGTCGCCTAACAGCAAGGAGGTTCCTGGTTCGAATCCTCGTTGGAGAGGAACAATGTGGGTCTCTGTGTGGCGTCTGCATGTTCTCCCCGTGCATGCGTTAGTCCTCTCCCCCCCCCCACAGTCCAAACACATGCTCATTGGTGACTCTAAATTGCCTGTAGGTGTGAATGTGAGTGTGGCTGGTTGTCTGTTGCTATGCGTTAGCGCTGTGATTTACTGGTGCACAGAACAAAACAGTGCACATGGCCTCTTGTCCAATGATAGCTGGGATCGGCTCCAGCCCCCCCGCGACCCCGAGCGGGAAAAGCAGTTGAGAGAATGGATGGATACAATTTAAAAGCCATTTATTTTACTCTGATCTAAAAAAAAAAAAAAAAACATTCTTATTATCCTGGGGTAAAACTTTATTTTGAAGCTTAAAAATGAAAATAAAAGTTTAAAAAAACAGCTTTCTAACTGTATTAAAACTGAACTGAAAATGAAAACCAAAAAGGCAAAAAGAATTGAACATCGAAGCTAATGAAAAAAACTATAATAGCCTTTGGTCAGGCGGCCGCCACTGTGTTTCTGACTTTGATTTTATTACGATTATTCCACATATCAAAGAGGGTTTTGTTCAGGAGGAAAACATATTTGTTTTCAATGCAAAAGCTACTTCCTTAGCCAGATGTTATCTCAGGATGAAGTGGAAAATCATCTCTTTGTGGTTGACGATAAACTGAATTTAACGAGTTTTGCAGGTTTCAGGACCACGCGCAGACAATCTGATGTGTGAGCTGTCCGGGGTGCTGAAATATTCCATCACCACGGAGAGCTCTACGACTGTAACCGGACCGATAACTCCGTCTAATTTTCTTAGGCGCTGAAATCACACTGGCAGGATCTGCTGGAATCATTTTTTGTATTTCTTTTCAAAATTGGATTCTGTCTCGATACCTCGACTCAGTTTCCTTCTCCCCTGGCAGAAACATGGATAACATCTGGGTGGCCGGGAGGTGAGGGTCGCCATGGAAACTTCAGGTTGCTTCAGGTCATTAGCGGAGAAGCCAATGACTAAACACATAACATGCTCACTACAAGTGTAATAACGGCTGGGATTTTAAAAAGTGACATAATGACAGTTATTCATTTTCATAAAGGCTAAGTGGAAGAGTTGGCCACCAATAGGTCATCATCAAATCTGTCATTAATCGCCAACATCATCATCATCGTGATCGTCACCGTTATAGTCATAATTGTCACATCATCAAAACCCAAGCTCGTCATCATCATCGTCATGGTCGTCATGTTGTCATCGTCACCATCACAACCTTCACCCCAACCATCATCATGATTATCATCTTCCTCACCGTCAGGTCATCATCATCAAAACCTTCACCACCACATCACATCATCATCATCATCCTCGTCACCCAGCAACATTATCATCATAATTAGTATCATCCACATCCCCCTCCTCATCACCATCGCCAGAACCATCAGTGTAATCATCATAATCATAATTACCATAATCACCATCACCATCACCATCTTTACCATCATCGTCCTCACCAGAAGAAGAAGAGCTAACGTGTTGACTTGTCCTGATTAACCCGAGCAGATTATGAAGCCTCAGAAACAATAGAAGCGCCACATGTGTGGAACCGTTTGAGGACAAACGTCGCCCCCCCCCCCCAGATAACATCAGCGTCTGCTCTCAGGTTACATAGCGCCTCATCGTCCCCCGTCATCATATCCAGATGGTTATCCCCCAAACAGATCTGTCAGCATTGCTCTGTCAGGACTCACATGATCCATTATGATAAATCAGCTGAGCCCTGTCACCTGGTCACAGCAGATCAATAACAACCAGAGAGTGAGGACGATCAATGAAAATAAGAAAAAAACTTTCACTTTGAAGTTTAGTATTTGGCTTTGAACAAAAAGCTGTTTTGTAGTTACATCCTCAGAGAAAAAAATCTTAGGAGAATTAAAGGGTGAATCCGCTGGTTCAATTTTGCACTTCCACATAATTTGGGGATTTGTTAGAGAGACATTTCAGGTTCTTGTTCAGGTTCAGGTTATTTTATTTGTACCAGTAAGTATTTGTTTTGCTGCCAGTGAGGTGATGACGTACATCATGACACACTGCAGCAAAATAACGTTGCAAAAAAAAACAAAAAAAACGTTATTGTCTATCACATAGTGACAGAAAATGACATTTGGTTGAGGCTTGAGTTACATAAAACAATAACATTCAATCAAAATAAGACTCACATAAAGTCAGGTAAAAAGGCATATGCACCGCATGTTAAAAAGTATTGTTTATGTGGCCTTGTTGGAAATGCTTATTGCATTGGAAATAAAACAACACATTAAAGAAAAGAAGATTTTAAACATAATAAAACATGGTAAAAAAAAACCCAAAAAAACCCTGAATGATTAAAATTAAAGAAAAAGTCGAGGTTCCACCAAGCTCGGCCAAAACACATAATTATTTGCAAATATGGCTGCTGCTTGTTTAGCTCAGTGATAGCAGCAGGACCAAAACTATTTCTGTGTCTTTGTGCTGCACATTGGGACTAACAAACTATTCAAGGTCCCCAGAGGATTTCTTAGATTAGGGGGGTGCTTCCTCTTTCATTCTAACAACACCATGACGTTAGGAATTGTGGTTCTTAGTGACATGTCTTAACAAGCATGTCTTGTTCCCTGTAAGTCTTGCAACAAAAGAGGCAATACTTTTATTTGTTTCTTTATATTTATTGTAAAAGGCTGTAAAAAGGACTGTTTTTAGACGCCTCACTGTTCTGGCCTGCTCCTTTGTCTTTCACACTCCATGAACACAGAAAGTCATCACACCTGTTTTCACATGCTAACTTTAGTTCAAAGGACATTAAAGTGATCTCCACTTTAAAGTCCAACAACTACTACTTTTAGGTACCTACAGAAGCAAAACAATTTCTCATCTAGTTACCCAATCTTTTCTCAACAGACACAACCGTTGTTGACACGGCCCTGTCACTAAACCCTAATGGGAAAGACATTTTTTCAGTCCTCTATAGTTCCCAAAATGGGCTCCGAGCCCCCCTAGGGGAGGCGCCTGAGATCTTTGGATGTGGGTATACTCTTACATTTTCCCCAATTTTTTTTTTTTTCGGTGGCCCGTCCAGCAGAGGATAAATATTAGCAAACAATGCATGGTGGGAATCAGAGGAGATTTAGATGTGGGTATACTCTATGGACACTAAAAAATAAATGGTTATACTCTGTATACCTCTGTGTACCCTGTACTACACCATTGAGCGTGAGGCTGTCTGCTCTGAGGTTCTCAAAATGACATCTGCACACATTCAATAAAACCATGTTCAAACATCACTGGGAAATGTATAAAGGTATTCTGGTAAGAACAAATTTGTAGGCTTATTCTGATAGAATTGTATCAAAGAAAAACACGTTCATTTTTCAAAGCAACACTTCACTTTTTTTTCGAGTGAGTCCTTGGAGGGAGCTCGGCTTTTCTTAGATACAAGTCGGGGGGCTCTGGGATTGCTTTTACTGCAAAAGCTTTTCAGACATGTCGTTTCTATTTCAATCTTCCTTTTTTGAATTTATTCTTTGAGATCTTTTGCATTTTGTGATTTGAATTTTGTAGACAACTCTGTTAGGCCTGACTGTTGAAGCTTATCATATCATATTCCTGAGTTCCTGCCATTGCTTTGTCTGCCAAAGCACTTTGCAAACATCTGTTTTTAAATGTGCTATATAAATAAATGTATTATTTTTATTGTAAGATTTAAAACCTGTATGATACAATACTGATGTGACAGTGTGCAAGAGGCTGTCTGCTCCCATTCGACTGTAAACAGCAGGAATGTTTTCTTAGACAGGTGGTGAGATCAGACTGGTGACGTTGCCTCTGAAGGCAGGGAGCAAATGCAGAGATTCATCCAGCCTTCATTCATGAGAAGAGATCACACGAGGAGGACATCTTTCCGAACAATATGTAACTTTTCTTTAAGAGTAGAATTAAAGATGGAGCCACAGGTGGAAAACACAAGTCAGCCTTTTAACAACAGCACATTGAGGCTGCCGGGTAAACAGATAGTCCTGGGGATGGGTGTGGATAACTTTGTCTCTCTCCTCATATTCGGACTTATCTTCATCCTCGGTGTGCTCGGGAACACGTTGGTGATCACCGTGCTGGCCCGGAGCAAACCGGGACAACCACGGAGCACCACCAACATCTTCATCCTGAACCTGAGCGTGGCGGACCTGTCCTACCTCCTCTTCTGCATCCCCTTCCAGTCCACCATCTACATGCTGCCCACATGGGTGCTGGGAGCCTTCATCTGCAAGTTCATCCACTATTTCTTCACCGTGTCCATGCTGGTCAGTATCTTCACTCTGTCCGCGATGTCCGTGGACCGCTACGTGGCCATCGTGCACGCCAGGAAATCCTCCTCGATCCGGGTGAGGAGGCACGCGTTGCTCGGCGTGGTCTTGATCTGGATCCTGTCTCTGGTGATGGCAGCTCCGGTTGCGCACTACCAGAGCATCGTGGAGAGGGAGGACAACAACACGTTCTGCTGGGAGGTCTGGCCGGACCACCAGAGGAAAGTCTACGTGATGTGCACCTTCGTGTTCGGATACCTCGTGCCCCTCTGTCTGATTTCGATCTGCTATGCAAAGGTGGGAGCGCATGGATCAGAGTGGATACATGCGCGTAAAATCTGCAGATTAAACGGGAGAAATTTAACAGTTTGATCTCTAAGCACAGCAAGTTTTAACCAAACCGGTTGCAAAAAGCCACATTATCCTTTTTCATTGCATTAAATTGCAAATATTCAGCCACAGTGGTTTGGAAAACAATATTAGTCAAACAGCTGGTATGTCTCGCGCAACGGAAAACAAATATATCATAACCAATCTCGATTAACTGCGCTGTCTTCATGCCATTCCTTTATCTTCATTTCATGCATCGTTCGTTTCATGTTGCAGGTTTTAAAACATCTGCACAAAAAGCTGAAGAATGTCTCCAAAAAATCTGAGCTCTCCAAAAAGAAGGTTGGTGCGAGATGTTTCTTTATATCTGGCATGTTTGTGTTGCTTGAACCATAAATGCACAATCCCCACTGAGAAATACTGGATTGATACGTTTGAATAGAAAAATAATAAAGTACATTGATAACCATCTTTTTTTAAGTATCATCCAAGGACGAATATCAGAAATGTCATGGTTAAAGATTCTCAGGTGGGAAATTCTGTTGATTTTCTATGACATATGAGTTAATGAAATATCTTAAAATGTTGGACTGCTGGTTAAATATATTTGATGGTTTTACTCTGGATTCTGAGAAAACTAACCCCCCCCCCTCAAGAATTAGTGGATAAAATAATCTGAAGAAGATAAAAAGTTGTTTGTTGCAGCCTTACATTCAGTTCTAAATGTGCAAAATGGGCTCCAGTGAAAAGTAATATGAGAGGTGGACGTAGCTGCAGGGTGTGTGAAGTGAATCCAATACTGACGCTTAATGAACCTGTGTTCATTCTTACGGCCTGCAGGGGGAGATGTGGTCATACTGGTCCCTAGATGTTTAAAGCCAGATGTCAAAATTGAAGTCTAATTCTCAGCCGTAGTTTTAAGTCTTTTTAATTCCAGCATGATTTTCATTTTGTAAATGTCGTCTTGTTTTTTAAGTAAAAAAGGACAATAAAGCAGGGCTTGCTTTTAGGGTGTGGCTAACTTTGTGATTAACAAGATGCTACCAAGGGACCTGCCTATAAGGATCCATATAGACAGGGACCCTCGCTTCATGAAAATTAATTTGAACATTGTCGTCTGATTTTTGTCTAATATCATTTGTAATTAAAGATATAACGGGGAAGGTTAACGACAGGGGTTGCCGACTGCAGTCTGCATTCCTTTTCTTTCAGCACAGTCACTGGTTATGCTGAATCACTGGGAGAAAAAACACAACTAACAGTTGATCAATCTAGGAAGACGGCCCAGTTCATGTGTATGCTTGGGAAACAATGCTGGTCCATTATTCAGTAATTTAATTATTTTCTAAGACTGCTTTTTTGCAATCCAATGAACTGGAACTACCTCAAAGCTAGTAAGCAAATACTGGTGTATGTTTATACACCAAGCGGCAACCTATTGAAAAATTAAACCAATGTGCCAGTGCAATAAACTGCAGTACCTTCAGTGTCCACTTGAGGCTGGCTGCAAAATGCATGATTACATCGGTGGCTTGGTTGGCGCGTTATAGCTGTTGACAGGGAAGTTAAAGACCAACCTCAGCTCCACGTCTCTGTTGAGATATTAAACGAAAGCAAGGTAGAGACTGCATTTCCAAAATGGCGACTGCCATCATTTGGCTTCCGATCTCGCCTTCAGAAACCAGTGGGTGACATCATGAGACTACGTTCATGTTCATACAGTCTCTGCTTGCCACCAGTGAAGCTGCCCCTTCTGGCCTTTGGAAAAAATGCAGTTTTAAGACACTTCCACATTAGGGTCATTGGGACTACATCCATGACTTATACAGTCTATGAAATACGTCCTCGCTACTCTCTAGCTCCCTCACCCCCTCCCAAACCCCCGACAAAATGCTAAACTCAAGCTGTCATACCAGCAGCTCACAAACATCAAGCTGACATCACACTGGTTATGTCCAGTTTTTATTTACAGTCTTTGCTGAAAAGTCTAGTTGGAAACTAAATTCAGTTTTCTATGCGAAAACAACCAAAGTACACTGAAAGTACATGTTTTGTCATCTTATATTCAAGTATCCACTAGCCCAATGTTTCTAAACTGGTGGGTCGGGACCCAAAAGTGGGTCGCGGAGCCATTTTCAATGGGTCGCAAATGTGTGCCGGGAAAAAAATACTGTTTGTCTTTGTTCTGTCACTTTTTTGTACCCTCCGTGGTCCAAACAGTCCAAACATTTTTCATTGAACAAATCTGATTGGTTAAAAAATACCTGAAATTTGGGATGTGATTTTTCAAGCAGGAGTTGGTGGTGGGTCCTGAGGCTAGACCAGTTGAGAACCACTACACTAGCCTATATCTGATATCAATAAACTTTACTCATCATTCATCGTCACTCTTCGTCTGTTATAACTAACCTGTTATATAACCCATAATATTCCCACTTCTTACTGTGCTCAATAGACAGCTCAGACGGTCCTGGTGGTGGTGGTGGTCTTCTGCCTGTCTTGGCTGCCTCACCACATCGTCCACCTGTGGGTGGAGTTTGGGTCTTTCCCCCTGAACCAGGCGTCTTTCGTGTTCAGGATGTTGGCTCACTGTCTGGCCTACAGCAACTCCTCCGTCAACCCAGTTATCTACGCCTTCCTGTCGGAGAACTTCAGGAATTCCTACAAGCAGGTTTTCAGGTGTCATATACCCAGGAAGTGTCCTGTGAACGACACCAGAGACCTCCGCAGCAGGGTGGAGACGGCACCGTCAACCAACATCAGCGTGAACATCAAAGTTCACGACCCCCAGATCACTAAAACGCTTTGATGTTGCAGGTCATCAGAGCATCAGCGTTTCAGGATTTTGAGGCCAATACTGTACTTACCCAGATATGTAAGACTTCAGATTTTTGAGAAACAACGACATGTACAAATCTATCGGTGGACATTTATTTAACACAGTGTGAACAATGGTGAATACATTCTGCCACTATACAGAGGTCCATGAAACTCTAATCACCTGCCAACACATTTCATCAATAATTACTGCCAGAAAAATGCCATATTGATGCGATGGTCAGACTCTGAGTTTTACGATATGAACATAGTAATTGTCATGTGAAAATATTAAGCTCCTCAGAAGTGCTGCTTAGGGCCCCAGGCCAGTAAGTGGCCCTCGAAGGATGACACATTTAAACTGCAACAGTAGCTCAAAATGTGCAAGTTTTGCAATGACAGTAAGAAACCTCCCTAAAGGGGCCCCATCTGACAGCACTCTGTGAAAACCAATGGCTTCCAATGAAAGTCACTGAAGGAAAATGAAGAGGAATGATCTTTCTGGGTGTGAAAAAAGAAATAGGAGGAGCGTCAGGACACTGGCAGACATAATGGTGGTTGGAGGGGCCCCCAATTAATTTTGCCAAGGGCCCCAACAGACTCTAGGATCGCCACTGAAGCTCCTGAAGATGAAATTCACCTGTGCTAAGGTGCTTTTTGTAATACGAAAAAACCACCTCCAGTTTCAAACATGAAACTCTACGTCTTTTCTTATTCCCTTAAGGACCTTAAAAAACACTTTTTCCCATAAAGAGGGGGATCAGACGTCTCTGCTCTAAATGTTTGGTATTGTCAGTATGCACATTTGTTGGCTTTATACTTGTGTACATCAGAAACATGACATTAAATATTAAGCTTTGAAATGACAAGATAAAATGAGGGGAATATTAGGAGTGAGAAATTCAAAGTGTGAAGGAAAAAAACATGAAAAGAAGGTATAAATATTATGAAATATTATGTATTAAAGGGCTGTTTGTCTTCAATATAATTTAAATGCACACACACACCTCTGAGTGGATGTTCGTACTCTTGCATAAATCCCTCTGAAATAATAAGTGTACAATATGTTTGTAAATCAATGTCTTATACAGAGGAATTAATAAATGATGCTACAGACATATCATGCTTTCACATATTCATGCATGCACCACATCTGTAACACGTGTTCAGCTTTAGTGTGGAGCTGGTTTCTTCTCGTTCTCTGATTTGAAATGAAATGAATTTTTACAAAAAGATAATACTTCCTGCTCCTCTCTGCAGTGTTTTCCAAGCCCTGCAGGCTTTGTTACACAGAAGAAAAGCTGATTCTCATTCCATTCATTCTGCTCCAGGAACGAGCGAAAGAGTCTTTTTCATTCAGAGCGTGAGAAGATAATAGAGATCGTGCAGATAATGTCTGTTGAGCTGCAGGTACAGAAGTGTTAGTGCTTGAAATGCACAGGCAGGGAAATAACTCAGAAGAAGAAGAAGAAGAAGCTGTGATATTATAAAACTGTCAAGTTCAAGAATGATGTTATTTAACAGCACAGATCAGTTTGCTTTCAGATCTATCATGACCCGCATCAATAATGTTAGTTTTTGAACGGTAGTTGTCAGGTTTTTGCTCGATGATAAAATCACTTCAGCTGATTTTTATTGGCTGTTTTTGATTGTTTTTTTTGATTCTGTGATTGAGACATAAAAAAAGGCAAATCTTCAGTTTTATCAGAGTTTCTTTTGGGGTTTCTCAGATAAACTTAGCACACAAAACAAATCCGTTTGGAATTGTAACACATTCAAATGAACAACTATAGGACGTAAAGGATACCAAAACTACAATATTTGAACAAAGATTCAAACCTCTACATGTTTGAAGAAACCTCTAGTATCATCAGTACAATCAGTAGAAAAACATCACTAGAGGTTATCATGTTACCTGTGATGGAAGTGTGATCATGTATGTTTGAAATTCAAGATGGAGACAGGCTTATCATCATTCTTATCGGTGACTTAAATCCCAATCTACTCACAATGAATACACACATGTGAAGCCACCTCATGGAACTGAGAAGTCACACCGAGAGGCGGAGGTCAGGCTGAGCGGTTTACTGACGAGCTTTAAAACAGAAAATTTACTGAAATCCATGAAATCGCTACCAGCCCGATCAATAGGGATATATATAAAACAATGATATTTTAATCATTTCCCACACCGCCTCCAGTAATGATGAATTCATTGATTTTAATATGCTTTAACCTTTATTTAACCAGTTTGGTCCCGTTCAGATTATGGACCTCTTTTTCAAGGGAGACCAGGCCGAGGCGGTCTACAGACAGAGACACACAAATATAAACTATCAAACATATTCAGCTTACAGATACAAAGAAATACTTATGTACTCAAAAAGAAAGGAACAAAGGTTTTTCTTTTCGCTGTAATGATGCAAAACCCAAGATGACCAGCAGGTGGCGGACTCAGACAAGGATTCAGTCTTTCATTCTTCAATCTTTTGAATGTTAGGCCCTCTTCTTGTTCTTTCCACTAGTCATTCTTATTGTCTGATTATTATTTATCTTATTCTTCTTTCCATTGCTTTTAATTACTGCAATTTAATTGTTTTTTTTCAATTCTTTGTTTTTATAATTATTTTATGCTTTCTCTTGTTATTCTATGACAACGACAGAAAACTGCTCCAACAAAGACTGCCATAGAAATATTATCTATGAATGCATTATTAATTTTTTTTAATGGATACTACTATTAACTTCAGTCCTCAACATACTTAGCAATATTCATTGTGTTATTGAAATTTAACCTCTTAAATGCCAGTTTTTGTGCCATTAGAATGTGATTTCAAAATAAGACAAAAAACACAAAAAGTGAAACATTTTCCATCCCGTATATGCAAAGTAGATTATTTTGGGGGTTGTGTTATCAGAACGTGGGAATGTCAAAACTGGCATCAACATTGTTTTGTTTCCTTTTTATTTATTGTGTTATGTCAGATTATATAATAAATGCTACATCTTTCTCCCTAACGACACAGAGCAATGCTCCAATAAAGACTTTCCATATAAATATTATCTATTCAATTACTTTAATTCACTCTATTTTCATTTTTTATTTTATTTCAATTATTTTTTTCATTGTCCCACATTTTGCATCTTTTGGTGGTTGTTTGCAGTTTAGATTATATATTATTCCCCCCCCCCCCCTCCAGGAATGATATCATGGTTTCTTAGGCTTTTGTTAGATTTTGGAGGGTTTGTTGTTGTCGTTGTTGTTTTCAGTCTTTGTCGTCTAAATGAACCTTGATTTCTCCCCCAGCGGTGGGAAATTCATTTGCAGATCATCTATGCTAATCAATACCCGCGCCTGATAACCTCTCCCATTTCTCATTTCCCCCGGTGGCAGCTGAGGTCTCTATCCCCCCCGCGGGACCCTCACCCTGCCCATTCAAAGTGTCATAAATAATACGGGCTAATTAGATATGAATTGATTGTGTGTAGGTCGCAGGCGTTTTCATCCATCACTATAAAAAGCTGTTTAACAATAGATTACCAGCCGATAACTCCCAGAGGAGCCACATGTGAATGGTGCAGGGGGGGGGGGGGCTTGTTGTGTATGATAGGGGGCCTCATAAATCTGCTGTATAATAAATATAACTCACATCCATGCTGTTAATGCTGGAGGTGGTGTTATTAACGCAGAGGAGTTATGAATCATCGCTCTACTGGAGGGCTCAGTGTTTGTTTGTTTGTTTGTTGTGCTTTCTTTACTCTTCACATTTCTCTGATTACTTCACTTTTGTGTCTTTTTTAATTCTGATTTATTAAATCAAAGGATATGGTTGATCAAATGTAAGCATCATATAAAGCTTATAATTATTTGCTAGGGATGCTCAAATGAACGATGGTAGAGTCGGTCGGGGGTTCGATCCCCAGCTCCTGCAGCTACATGTCCGATGTGTCCTTTGTCCTTTAACCCCAAGTTTGTACCGCTGCTTTGTTGAATGTGTATGAATGGGATTAGATACTTCTGATGGTCACTTCACAAAGCAGCCTCTACCATCAGTGTGTGAATGTGTAGGTGTGACCTGCGGTGTATAAACACTTTGAGTCCATTTAACATTTACCATACAGGTTTTGGTGTCAGCTGATATTTGTCCTGTTAAAATACATCATGGACAAATTCTGTATTTTATTTATTTATTAAATATTGACTTTACCAGAAAGAACCTCATTGAGATGAAGAATCATATTTAGTGTCCTGGCCTAGAGGGGCAGCAGCACAGACACAGATCAAGTGAGAAGAAAAAGCATCTACAACCTGAAGCATCTTCCTTCAACACCTTCAATCTACTTTTTAAAGACTCCATTGTGCTGCATCAGTTCATTGTTGCTAGGATACATGGTTAAAAAAAAAACTAAGGGTAGCAGTACTGTTTCAAATGAACAAACCAACAAAAACCAACAAAGAACAAGTGTTAACCAGAGAATGAAAAAAACAGGGTGAAAAGGGGCCCAGGATGGTTCATTTTGTCCCCTGTGGCCCTCAGAAAAAGAAAACATTTACTGCATGGTGCCCTGTGACGTTTGTATGTCTCTTTAAAAATCCTGGTTCTTCCACTGATTCATTTAATGAATTTATAATAACCATAACGTTACGCTGTACTTTTTGTTTATTGATGTGAACTCATGTATATTTCTTTAATTTATTGTACAGCACTTTGGTCAGCTGCTGCTGTTTTTTAAATGAGCTAATGTGACGTGACTTTATAGTACCGATTGTTTGATGTTTTTCCTCGCTATTCTGTCGCTTCTTTAACTTCTGATGTCCCTGATTGCTTTCTATATTTGGTTTGTGATGTGTGTATCTACAGAGCTTCATTTACAGTATTTGCATGAAAATCACAGAAGTGCTAGCCATACTTGTGAAGCTCGTTTCAGAGTATTATGAGCTTCTCTTTCTCCATATATTTCATTTCAGTTAAGGCAGAGTTATATCTTCGGGTTTGGAAGTTCTAGAGAAAGACGAGCTTTGAGATAGAAATATCTTCGCCCCTGTTCTGACACAGATAACAGGACGTGAGGTTTGATCTCTATCCACCTGCCCTGCATGGACTGCTCAGATTTCTGAAAAAGGTGCGGCTCTCTGGGCTTGACGACAACCACAGCAGGTCTGTGCTGTCAAGCCTCTCTGATTAATGGCCCTGCTGAAACATGTCCAGCCACATTAGAGCCCCATGTATCTCCCAGAGTCCACACAGGCCCGGCTCTTTGTTCTGATGGGAAATGGTGTCAGCCGCTCACTGCTGCTCGCCCAGAAACAGATAAAGATTTACTGTCATCAGAGGCCAGATTAAAGCGCACAAAC